TATCACGCCATTATTACGCTCGTTATTATCACGCCATTATTACGCTCATTATTATCACACCATTATTACGCTCGTTATTATCACACCATTATTACGCTCATTATTATCACGCCATTATTACGCTCATTATCATCACGCCATTATTACGCTCGTTATTATCACACCATTATTACGCTCGTTATTATCACACCATTATTACGCTCATTATTACGCTCATTATTATCACGCCATTATTACGCTCGTTATTATCACGCCATTATTACGCTCATTATTATCACGCCATTATTACGCTCGTTATCATCACGCCATTATTACGCTCGTTATCATCACGCCATTATTACGCTCATTATTATCACGCCATTATTACGCTCATTATTATCACGCCATTATTACGCTCATTATCATCACGCCATTATTACGCTCGTTATTATCACGCCATTATTACGCTCATTATTACGCTCATTATGATCACACCATTATTACGCTCATTATTATCACTCTGGAGGTCTGTTGGACATCCCTCCATCGCCCAGTGGCTTTTCCTTAAACTTGAGAAAATCCAATATACAATGAGAGGATGTGCAGAAATTTTTTTTCCAAAAATGGCAGTGTTTTCTTTCTTATTTTTCAGATTTGGAGCTCCTACCTAACTAAATATGCCTTGTGCCTTTTGCTGTATTTTGCTGATGTTTTTATCATTATTATTATTATTATTATTATTATTATTATTAATCTTATTTTTCTGCTTAATATGTTGGGCTGAGACAGGGTGGGAATGGGGTGTATTGTTCTCTCTTTTTATTGTTCTTATTTTGTTTTGTTTTTGTTTTTTGTATATGTAGTAGGTGTGACTATTTCAACATTTATACTTGTGTGTATATATTAGAATTTATACCTGCATAAGTATACGTTTATCAAAAAAAAAAGTGAACTGTATTCCTTTCTGTGATTATCTTATCATTTGTTTCAATAAAAATAATTTGAAAAAATAAATAAATAAAAAAAGCTGTGCCTGTTCAACAGAACAAAAACAGGCAAAATGGTTATACTCTCTGCTAGCTTTCCCTTTTTTCCCTATAAATGTCTTTATTTTTTTGCTCCTGGGAACAATAAACACGGCCTCCTGGGGTTAATCATTTAGTTTTGGGTTGAACGATTGGCTCAAACCACAGGAAGCTCCCAAAGGAGTTTGGATGAGGCGGCAGCTCCCTCTGGTGGTCAGAGGGCTGAACTGCAGCCACACCAGCGGCAGAGTGGAGATGAGTTTATTTAGTTTTCTAAATAAACTGATAACTGAAGGGTGTCTAAAGGACTTAAAGGACTAATTTGATGGCTTTCGGTTTTATTTTGTGTGATTTTATCCCAACAAATTAATTAAAGCTGCATGTGTTTAAAGAATGCAATGAATTACCGTGTTTAACGGAACAAAAACAGGGATCCGTACCTGACCCCGGTGGGGAACAGCTCGATGCTGTACAGGATGGAGATGAAGATGGCCGCCAGGATGCAGAGTTTTCCCAGCAGGGCCAGACTCATCACCAGCATGGGCTCGGCTGTAAGACACAAAACACCCCCTCTCATCAGAACAACCCAAAGCCCCGTCACAAACATGGAGACTATGGAGGGAGAGGGGGGGTCCACACCTGACCCGGCGTGGAAAACCGCCCCCAAACTCCATATTTACCCTGTATAACGAATGTAAAACAGCTCTTTTACGATGCTTTGGGTCAAAAACATCAATATTTTGATGACTATCCCACCTGAAGATAACCCCCCCCCCCACACACACACACACACTGGCATCCACGTTCATCATCCCACGTTCTGATTGGTCCAATCTGCATCCTGTGAGGAGGCCACTGAGGCCGGTTTCCATAGTTACGGCTGACTCCCTCCTCCAGTGACGTCCAGACCCCAGAACCCTCTGGTCCTGGTTCCCCCGGGACTCCAACCCAGAACCCTCTGGTCCTGGTTCCCCCGGGGACTCCAACCCAGAACCCTCTGGTCCTGGTTCCCCCAGGGACTCCAACCCAGAACCCTCTGGCTGTGAGGGGATGGTACTGACCACCACACCTCCTCCAGTGACGTCCAGAACCCTCTAGTCCTGGTTCCCCCGGGGACTCCAACCCAGAACCCTCTGGTCCTGGTTCCCCAGACCCCAGAACCCCGGTCTGGGCTCACCCTGGTATCTGGACAGCAGCAGGGACAGGAAGCAGGCGGCGCCGCTGAGGAACAGGGCCAGCATGCTGATTGGCCGGCGGCCCAGGCGCAGCAGCGGCACCAGCAGGCAGGGCGCCTCCGATAGGCCGGACAGGAACTGGGCCGCGTGCACGCCCACCCCGAAGGAGCCGATGTTCATGCAGATCCCGTAGTAGGTCAGGGCCGAGGCCGCGCTGAAACACACAAACACGCCCGCCCAGTCAGAGAGGGACGCTTTTTAAACAGAAATATAAACTATAACAGGTGTTCAACAGGTGTGCTACTGTAGAACTTCAATAAATACAGTTTTAACCCTACAATGCCAAATGTGTCATATTTGATATGGTTTCTGAAGTCTTTTGGATCGGAGACTTTTTGCATCATTCAGTGGTAAAAGCTTTGCTCAAACCCCTGTTGTACACATTCAGATATACAGTGGGGGAAATAAGTATTTGACCCCTTGCTGATTTTGCAGGTTTGCCCACTTACAAAGAATGCAACGATCTAAAACTTTAATCATTTGTACATTCTAACAGTGAAAGACAGAATCCCAAAGAAAATTCCAGAAAATCACATCATATGAATTTATAAAAATTGCTAACCATCTGATGAGGAAAAATAAGCGTTCTTTGTAAGTGGGCAAACCTGCAAAATCAGCAAGGGTCAAATACTTATTAACAGCCAGTAGAAGACTACACCTAAATATATTTTTGACTTATTGCACGCTAATTTGATCAAAATTATTTCTGGTTTTTTTTCTTCATATGTTATTGAGGGGCCAAAGAAAGACTTCAGACTAAAAAAATTCCAATATTCTTCCTATTTTTCTTGGATCAGGCTTTAAAGGGTTAATTCATTTTAATACAACATCCAACAAATCATGAATTAGCTCATTTTAGAGGGATTCATTCAGACCTCTCAACAGTCAAGGAAATTATCCCCAAAAGACTCCAATTAAACTCAGAAAAGGCTTCTTTGTCAAACCAAAACAACCAGAGTTCCCTTCAATTTCTAAAAGAGTATTTGACTCCTTGACTCTCCATACTGAAGTCATGCTGTTGAACATGTTTAAAGTTTAGGTTAATAATAAAGGTCTATAATAATAATAATAATAATAATAATAATAATAATAATAATAAAGGGCAAGCCTGTTTGTCTAAAACGGACTAAAAATGTCCGACACACCACAGGAGGCCACTCTAATCGAGCTGTTTCACTAAAGTTAATAAATTGTTTGACTCCGATGGATTTTCTGGGCTTCTGGTTTCTGCTTTTTGAAGCTGAGAGCAGAAACGTGGCCTTTTCCCTTCGGTTTGCTCCAGCCTCCTCCATCCCTGACTATCGGTTAGCGATAACTCCTCAGTTACACGTTTAAGGTGTTGCGTAACAGCTCTGTGGCCAATCAGGCGTCGGGAAGGAGAACTGTTCAGACATGTGAGTGTGCTGTTGAAAAAGAGGAGCCAAAGGTCCCCGCTTACATAAAGACTGATGCATTCCTCCCTGTTGTTCAACCTGAAATGTCCCCCAACTCAGAGAGAAGGAGTCTGTGGTTTTAGAAGAACAGACGCTTTCTAAAACGCGTTCATGCTGAAAAAGGTTCTAAGATCTGAGAAATAAGTTGATTTGTGGACTCAGCTTTAGTCTCTGGGCTGCAGACTTTAGTTTCTGATAAAGCTGAGAGTTGGAGACGCCCCATAGTTCTGCTGGGGGCTCCCAGCATGCACCTCTGCTGTTTACCCAGGCTAATGAGGGTTAGGGTCAGGGTCCGGGTTAGGGTTAGGGTTAGGTTTAGGGTCAGGGTCAGGGTTAGGGTTAGGACATCGTTTTTCTTCTGATTTCGTATAGACAGTAAAGTTTTGTTTCCACCTCAGAAAGCTGCTGGTCACATGACCTAATCAAAATGGCCGACTTGGATGTGGGAGGAGTTGGGCATCCAGCCGAGGCTCCTACAGATTTAGATTAATCTGTTGGTTTCCTTTGATGGGAATTTTTTTAAACCGCCTCTGAATGAATGAGTTGAAAAGCCGTGTAAGAAATAAATTGATTTGAAAAGCTGAATTAAATTTGAAAAGGCCATAAACTGATGCTTATGTGGAGTTTTGTAGAAAACCCAGAGCTGTTGGATGAACTACCTGAGGTAGCTCATGATGAAGAGCCGCAGCAGGATGGTGGGGTGCCTCAGGTGGGTGATGGCGCTGGGGGCGGGGCCACTGGGGGCGGGGCCACTGGGGGCGGGGCCATTGGGGGCGGGGCTTATCACCACGTCCAGCTGAGCCTCGCTGGCCTTCTGCAGGTCGGCCCAGGCCGAGTCCAGCAACTGCACACACACACGGGGTTAGGGTTAAGGTCAGGGTTAGGATTAGAGTCAGGGTTAGGGTTAAGGTTAGGTTTAGAGTTAGGGTTAGGGTCAGGGTTAGGTTTAGAGTTAGGGGTTAGGGGTTAGGGTCAGGGTTAGGGTTAGGTTTAGAGTTAGGGTCAGGGTTAGGGTTAGGGTTAGGGTTAGGGTTAGGGTTAGGTTCAGGGTCAGGGTCAGGGTAAGGGTTAGGTTTAGGTTTAGAGTCAGGGTCAGGGTAAGGGTTAGGTTCAGGGTTAGGGTTAGGATCAATGTTAGGATCAGTGTTAGGGTCAGGGTCCGGGTTAGGGTTGGGGTTAGGCCCCCCCCCGTCCTAACCTGCTCCAGACAGCGCCTGTCGGCGGGGCTGTTGTCCTGGTAACGCTGCAGGACGTCCGTCTTCTTCTGCAGCAGCAGCCAGCGCGGCGACTCCGGGATGGAGCTGCAGAGAGAGAGAAGAAGAAGAAGAAGAAGAAGATTTTTTTTTATTTTTAGCTAATTATTTATTACTTAACTTAACAATAGAAAACGGTACATAATCAGGTCAGAGAATACTAAAAATACAATAAATAATCACAATAGCAGCTTATTATATTTTAGTTCTCCCCGATCACAAACGGTGCACAATACATTAATAAAACCCCACGGTTCTAAAACAAAATATTGACCTTCCACAGAGCCACCGCGTCGAGTTGAGGTCCAGCCTGCATTTTGTCTCTTCGAGTTATTTAAATAGCCATTTTGGCTTCAGCTACTAAATAATTTAGAACACGGGATTTACAACTAGTGGTTCGACTGTGATGTACACGGTTAATAAAAACTGAATTGGTAAAAACCATGCCAAAAAGGCTAAAAATGTTCGCTAAAAATTTTAAAAAACTAGTTAACCGTATACAGTCTGTAAAAACATGAAAAACACTCTCGGACAACCTGCAAAATGGACACTCGTTTAAAACCCCGGGACTGAAGATGACCGATAAAAACGAGAAGAAGAAGAAGAAGAAGAATAGGGATAGGAAGAACTCCCCACATGGCTCTTTGGGGGGGAGAAGAAGAAGAAGAATAAAGAGAGGAAGAACTCCCCACATGGCTCTCTGGGTGGGAGAAGAAGAAGAAGAATAAAGAGAGGAAGAACTCCCCGCATGGCTCTTTGGGTGGGAGAAGAAGAAGAAGAATAAAGAGAGGAAGGACTCCCCGCATGGCTCTTTGGGTGGGAGAAGATTTTGATTTTTAACAATACATTTATTGTACAATAAATCAACAATTTAAACATTACATAAATCAGGTCAAAGATACTAAAACAAATAAATATTTACAATAACACTCTGTTATATTTTAGTTCTCCCTGATCTGAAATGGTGCACAGAACATTATCAAGACCCCACATGGCTCTTTGGGTGGGAGAAGAAGAAGAAGAATAAGGATAGGAAGAACTCCCCACATGGCTCTCTGGGTGGGTGGGGGTTAGGTTAGGCTAGGGGCGGGGTT